TAGTTTGTAACGGAGTTAATTATATGATTGATGAGACCTTGTAGTGTATCAGATCACACGTTCAGTCGGCAGACAAGCCAGAAGACAACGTCTTAATGATAGGCTTTAATCGACCAAAAACGAAGCATGAGAGCTAAAACGGGATAAGCAAAATGTTAGAATATGCACCCAGAATAACAGCAATCTATGCAACAGAAAGGACTGTAATAAATCTACAACATTCACTGTCACCCAGAAAACGAAGATTACGATGAAGTTTGTTTTGGGTATCCCGAGGACTGAAAATGGGAAGTGTTCACATTAATTAGTGGAGAGTGCGTTGCTATACCTCACGGTTTTGAAGGCAATCATGTCTCACCCTTTGTTGTTTAGATAGAAGGTCTTTAACGCGTGTTTCTGGTTCACTAAGAATTTTCACCGGGTCGGACAGAACTGTGTGCGAATCTGAGGTGCATGGTATGTCATCAGGTGGGGGGGGGGATTCTGTGCAAGGCTCTGGAAAAGAGGTGGTTGGCGATGAAGTTGGTCGTTCTACGGGAGCAAGATGACGAAGAGATACTGTTTCTTCTCGTCCATTGGGGAGACGTATGTGAGCGTATTTGGGGTTGTTCTCCAGTGGTACAACTTCTTCTATCATGGGGTCATACTTGGAAGATCGGATGTTTCTTCGATATAGTATAGGACCAGGTGTTAATAACCACTGGGGCAGACTGGTGCCAATCGCAGATTTTCGATTGTGGTGAAACATACGTACGCGAGGCGTCGCGTTGATAGTCGTACAGAGTAATGATCTGATGGCATGAAGGGCATTAGGTAGCACCAACTCCCATTGATCAGCCGCTAGATCCTTCGAACGGATCCATTCAGCCTTTCAACCTGACCATTACCTTGAGGGTTATAGCTCGTCGTCCTGCTAGTAGCTATTCCTCGGTCGTGAAGGAACGTCTTCAGTTCCTGAGACATGAAAGAGGTCCCTTGATCGAAGTGTAAATAGTGCGGCAGTCCGAAAATGGAAAATAACTCAGTTAAACGAGAAATTATAGTGCGAGCAGTCATGTCGGGACAGAGGAAGGCAAACGTAAAACGGGAATACTCATCAATAATTGTCAAAATGCAGTGATTTCGAGTGGAAGAGGGGATTGGGCCTTTGAAATCAACGCTGAGGTGTTCAAAAAGTTGTTTAGCCTTAACAAGGGGACTATTGCGTGGTCTGTGAAACTTGGGTTTAAGGCGTGTACAAACAGGACATTGTTGAGTTGCCACCTTGATATTATCGAGAGAAAAGGGTAGATTTTTTGTGCGGATAAAATGGTACAGACGCGTGATACCGGGGTGGCGCAGACTGTCGTGAAGTCGCTTCAGTTAATCGATTGAATGAGTGCTTGCGCATAATACTCATGAGAAAGCATTGGCTGCAGGATTCTCCGAACCTGGACGGTATATCATATCATAGGAGAATTGGGAAAGTTCAATACGCCAGCGTTGTCGTCCTTGATTTTGCTGCTGACTTTCATATCGTACATGAAGGCGACGGAGCGTTGATCAGTAACTAATTTGAGGTGGGCACCCTGTAGGTGATGCCGCCACTTTCGAGTGGCTTCAATTATTGCGTGGGCTTCTTTTTCTACAGCAGAATGATTTCGCTCTGAGGGTGACAGGGTGCGTGAAAAAAAACCACGGGGCGACCACTTTGAAGTGAGCGGATACAAAGCCAACATCCGGGGCTATAACCGGGTCGGTGAACTACTGGCAGATCACCTAGGGGAGTTGACCAAAAACCAACCAAGAGGAGGCGTACAAACCACACACACACACCTTGGTTGTGGTAGTAGTCATCGGCTTAATTGGGCACTTTGAACGTTTGACCCCGTTCGAAGTGTGTATGATCCGATGAACTGGACACAGTCCCCTAATGGATTGCGGTTTTTCCACAACGCCCCGCTGCTTTGTAGATAAGGCTTTGATCAGCCAAAGGCTCCGGTTATGGATTCTTCAAGAAAATTCACCTGTCGTGGCCTGGACAACCTGGCAGTATTCCGTCCACAAGCAAATTATGGAACATTTTTCTTTTTATAATAACCATTGTACCGTGATTTGTTTGGCACAGTTTGGCCTCAGACGTGTGTGAAATATTATACAAATCCATGGCGTTTGCCCACTTGAGATATATGCGACGCCGCCGCGACATTCGGCTGTCCATGAAGGGTCTAGTGTTTGATGCAGCATTCCGGTCCATTCTGCTATATGGTGCAGAAAATTGGCCACAGCTACACAGCATTGCACAAATTCGGTGGGGCAATCGAACGAGCAATGATAAGATTAGACGCAGGGTTTCGGGTAACCGCGGTCGTCCACTAGTGCAAGTGGTCGGCCCCCATAGATTACGTTGGTTGTGACATATGTTACACATATCACCAAATGGTGCCACGGCAAGCGATGTTCGCCGAGGCAGGTTGGGGATGGAAGAAACCCAAGGATGGTCAGAATAAGACCTAGATTTGGGGGTATGAAAACCCTAACCAGAAGACTGTCACATAGACCGCGTTAGACTCCCTGGCTGGGGACCTCGAGATGGTCGTAACCGGTGGTGAGAGACACAGCGGTATGGCTGAGTGTCGTAAACAGTGGCATTTGTGCATCTTCCCAATTTCTTTGCAGTCTTAGTCCACTCAAATTATCCATTTTCTCTTCCACTCCACTATCAACTCTCCTGTTTTTCTACCACTACTTCACTCAAATGGGCAGCTAAAAGACAGCAGCCAAACTCGGCGAACGAAAGTGCATAGTTAATGGTTGTGCAAGCTGAAAACTGAAACTGCATATACAGAAAGAGCTTGTGCTTCTGCGTGGATTATTTTGAGTATTATCAACCGTCCATCTGGTCTTCTACCCTTGACTGCTTTCTGGTTGCTGTTTGCCTCCGACATACGTTCTGGATTGTAATATAGTGGTTTGGAGGTCTTTCCTTGTACAGCTTCTCAGTTAGAGTTCAACGGGCTGCTACACGTCTAGTCTCAGGACTACGTGGGATCAGCCATCAAGAACGACTGATAGAAACGGGGTTGTTTCCCATGGCGTGCAGATGCCTGAGAGACGACCTGATTTACACCAGATGCATCATTCGGGGTGAAACTGCCATTGAAATTCCCCCGAGGAACAATAACCGCATCAGGGGACATGCACTGACGCTCCGCAAGATGCAGTTAAACGGCCTACCGGTTTGGTCTATCGTCTAACAAAGAGGGTAACAAATCCCTGGAGTGCGTTACCGGAGGATGTGTTGGAAGAGTCAAATGACGGCATGTTTAAAGTGAAGCTCGACGGAGCTGTGAAAGAGTGCTGGACTGGTGCCAGCATCTAATCAGCCCAGTGGAGCATACTGTGATAGGGCTAATACGGGAGATTTCCCACTTCCCTTCGTACTTGAAAACTTGAAAAGGATTGAGTTTCCTACATGGGCTATAGAACACTTCATCCATCGCATCAACTGGAGGGGCGTTCCATAAATTGGTCAGGTCACTTCAGGTTGCACCACTGCCAATTGAGCGTCCAGAACTCCTTCGATGCTCACCCTGCGGGCACACAGCTCTTTTAAAATATAAAAATGAGAAATATGATCTCATCTAACCGAATTGTTGAGTGAAGCGTTCCATTACATACAAAAGAGAAAAAGATATTCCTAAACATTTGCACTCCTCAAGTTGTCTACACTGTTAGAGATGGGAATCGGTCCTAAAGGCCCGCACTATCTGGTGGTCGACTATTTCCTTTGGAAACTAGTTTCAACTGTTGACTATTTTATTGTTAAAGTAGTGCTTACGTATGGTTAGCATGCACCTTTGTTTCGTGATTTTGCAGGTTTCTATTAGGTCTGTCCCGAGTCTCCTTAACCAGCGTTGTGATCGATAGTAAAATGATGGTTCTCTGAATGGATCCCCATTTTGTGAGCGTCTGAATCTCATTTTCATCAAGAATTAATTAAATTAACTCCTAAAGGGTCAATTTTTCGCACAAAATAATCTTGAATCACCTGCTTCAGAATTAGCGTGTTAAAACCCCCTAGATTCAGAGGTTGATCAGGCTTCGTAATCTGCACTTTATTCAGTGGCAAACTACTTACAATTCCATTAGGCAACCGCTTTTGGTGAGTGACAGACAATTTGTCTGGGGGAATGCTACAGGTTGGAAGAATGGGTAAAGGGAGAGGGTTGGTTACGTAAAAACTGAGTTAAACGGAGGTTGGGATGTCTGATCAGTAACCCACTTATCACTACCCACCCCGCTCAATGCAATGGGCAGCGCAACCCTGATTGTCGTGCGCAACAACTGATTCACCATGAAATTATCTTTGGTTTGTGTAGACACTAGAGTTTGATAGGCCGGTACTACTAGGAGAGATGTCCAGCCACTAGATAACAATTAGAATTCTCGTGTTGATGTCGTCAGCGTATTCTAAATCACACACTAATAATCAATACATCATGCAGCCAGCTTAATTTTTATCATAACGGAAATTTTAATTTTGTTACGGGATCTGAAATTTCTGCATGGAGGATGCTCGACACATTTCACTGCTGGAGCACCGTTTTTCCTGAACTGCCGCTCGTGTCTGTTGAAGAAATCACGTGACCAGTGGCCAGATTCGACGTCGTGTATTCGGTACGATTAGGCATTCCCTGATTGAAGTGTCAATACTACCTAGTTTTCAATGATACCGATCACTACTTCTGATTTCTGAGTATAGTCAAAAGAAGCACCGAGCTGTTCATCTTACGTAATACCTTGTAGAACTTACAAGTGACTTTGGCTTCGGTTGGACATTCTCGACTACCACTCAGGGGCCCCAAGGAACGCTAAATAGAAACTCTTAGGGGTAAACAAAGCCCCGAGAGTTACAGGAACAAACCACATAGGGTTCAAGAAACAAGTGGTAGTGATACCTGTGACGAATCAATAATTGTCAGTATTTGAATCGTACCACTCTTCTCTACTTTCAGATCATGTCACACAATTCTTCTGGTCCGCCACTAACCCCATTGGCTGCTCTTAATCGCTTGCCGGGTTGGTTGGGCACTCTGGTTATCAGTCCGGATGGTTCCGTTCTACAATCAGCCGGAGACTTGGTCAGTAATCATGGGGCCGCTCAACGTTTCGCCGCGATGGCCAATCGAATCGGTCGTTTGATGAATCTAGAAAGTCATAGACAAACTACAGAATTTAAACGTCTCACGAGTAAGACCATTTCTCTTTCATTGTCATGCAAGCACGCACTCGCGTAGTAAATAGTAAATCAAACTGAATACACGGCTTGATCCAATTCTTCGCAACCCTGACCAGGAGACTTACTCACTTAGGACCGCGTTAGGTTTCCTTGATGGGAACAAGGAGATCATTGTATTCAATAGTTAGTGATAATGAATGATATGGCTGAATTTTGCAAAACAGTAGCGCTCATGTATCTACTCATTATCCTTTCAGTCTTAGTCTTCAAGAATTCTCCATTCTCAATCTGACGCTGATTGGAGCATTCCAATCTTCCATTTACTCATTCATCCAAATGGAAAGTCGTGAGACAGCAACCAAAACCGAAAGTGTATTTATTATTATTATTATTATTATTTACACACCTGAGTTTGATGAACAGCAGACAGGGCGAACCCCATAGTCACGAGGACCTGTTGTTGAGTGGTGGAAACCGGCAACCTAAGAACCGTGGGACTTGAAGTGGCGAACCACGTAAGTTAGGCGTAGTATTGAACCGTACCACATCAGGGCTGCTACCACCAACGTCGGGTGGCGGTGGTGGTGCTCGAACTTCGGACGATTGGGTTGTAAGAGCTAATCTGAACTTGTGAAAATTAGTGGTTAAGTATAAGCTTTTTCTTTGCAACTGAACTCCCTCCTCATTTTCTCTATGCATATACGGAAATTGATCGCCTACATCTGTGTTCTGTTTCATAATAATTACAATTATACTGATGATAGTAATTGTACAAACCTGGCAATACAAGTGATGATCATGCGATTTTCTCTTCTCTTTCTCACTGGGAAATCCAGTCCACTTTGACCATTGCTGCTACATTATGACCTGTGTTGGGGACACCATCTACGTGGTAAAACGACTTCCGGACGAGACTGATCTAACCCTGAAGTCCGGCATTCCTTCTTCAGATGGTGTACCGCAATAACCGCTTCACTGCCGTTTGTCATCAATCACGGAAATTCTATGAACCGGAACTTTTCGAAGCGCGCAACTGTATAAAATACTCCTGTTCTGACATGCCTGTGATTTCAGCTTGCCCCGTTCTCGCCCCTATTTCCGTATATCACTATTTCTACTCAGCTCTTCTGTCAAAAGCCCCTAATCGAAGGGTGATGTCATCCATATTGTGATGATCATATTTTTCAAGTACATATTTTTCGTCTTTAACAAAAGCGCTTTTAATCATTTCCTTATCATTGTTGCCGTGATAACGTGTTTCGTCAAAACCGTATCACCTAGCTGTTTCTACCCACAATTTGGATGTTTCGGGACAACGGTTGATTTGATCGACATAAAATTAGCAACAGGGGTAGATTTGTCACGTTAGTAAATCATCATCATCGTACAGCGAAATACAGTGAGGCGAACTTTACCGACTGCTGCTAAACTCGCAATGCATACAAGGTTAGTGTTAAAATTTATGGTGGACGAGGAGTGGACCTATTTTAAGGGAGGGGGAAGAAGGTGAACCACTATGGTCAACACACACAGATTACGCAATCGAACTCTGCGTACATACCGCTTCGAGCATTCTGACCTGATAAGAAAGGAAAACAAGAAAACCACTGCTGTCGGTTCGCTGCCATATCCTTCAATGTCTGCAACGAACCACTTGCGAAATCTTTCAGACCCCAACCTGGAAAGCGAGAGACACCTACTCTACCTAATGGATCTGTGCACTTCTTCATGCCTCGTCTTCACGTCATGTGTCGACCTCCACGTGGTTTTCTCCAGCCCGGATTAGCTACAGCGAATAAAACACAGTGTGGCAGACGACAGCTGGGCATACGCAATACGTGTCCCAGCCAGCGAAGTCTACTGATCTGAATTCGGTGTGTCAGCAGGTTTATACCTGATAGACTCCTGAACACCCGACGGCTTACCTCCAC